GGTTCAAACCGGCTCATAATTATCTAACAGCCTTAGTTCCAGCACAAGACCAATTCGGGATGATAAAACGTGGACGGAAAGGTAAACTTGGGATAACTTGATCATGGTGAAGATATGGTGTTCATTTAAATTATGAATTGAGGATTTTTAAATTCGCAAAAATGGAGACTAGTTGATTATTTGAGGTGATTATTTGGATTACCAATGGAGCTTATTTGATTATTCATCAAGATTATGCGATTTATCCGTATATATTATTTGATATATTCGGGAGGATTATTTGATTATTTTGTGGTGCATTGTTTGCTTTAGCCGAGGAGAATTATTTGACTCATTCGAGGATACATTATTTGAATAATTCATGAGATTATGCGATCTATCCGTGAAAATTATTTGACTTATTGGAGGCAATTATTTGATCTATTCGAGGTGATATTTGATTGTTCGAGGAGATATTATTGGAGTTATTCATGGAGGATTACTTGATTTTCTCGTGTTGAGCAGTATTTAACTTATTCATGGATACTACTTGATTCGATCGTAGCTATTTGATTGGTCGTGATATTATTCGATATTATGCGTGGGATTGCTTGATTTGTTTAAAGAGAATCATGTAATTTGTTAGAGGAGATATTATTTTGTTCGAGGTGATAGTTGATTTATTCGAGGAGATATTGTTCATTTTGTTCGAGGTGATATTTGACTTATTCATGGAGGATTATTTGTTTTGCTTGTGTTTACATGGTTTATTCGTGGATTTATTTGAGTCGTTCGGGAAGATGTACAATGCATTTGTGGATATTTTTGTTTTGCTCGAGCAATTATTGGATTTACTTATGGACATATTTGAATTCTTGTCGAGGAAACAACGAAATAACCCGAGTCTGGACGAGCTAGGGTGGACGAGTTGTTAAGCGTCGAGGACAAAATGAACGAGCATGGATCTATACAAGCTATACAAGAAGGGTGATAATGAAGCACGAGCATGGATGATGTCGATCACCGGTGGCAATCTCAAAGGCAAAAATCATTCCCTTTTGGAAAGGTAAGACAATTTGGAGCGGTACTCTCGCCCTTTAGGTACAAAACTATTCTCAACTCCGGTTCGACGGTCATGTTTGATTGACACGTGGCTTATGGACACATTGAGTCTTTCAACACTACTTTTTAGAGATGTTCATTGTTTGAGTATTTTGGGCGAAATGTTGAGAAGATTGTGATGCATATTGACTTGGTTGAGATTATTATTTCGATGACTAACAAAAGGATTGGGTGTTACTATATCTTGTCGTGTTCGATGTTTTCCTTTCCGACCTCAGTGGCAGGTTGAAGAATTCGAGCACACGTTATCATGTACAACCAGGAAAGGGAGGTAGAAAAATACATTCAACATTTTTTATCTCGTTCGACGCAATTATGCATTTGATGAAACTAACAAAAATGATCGATTACTATCATATCTTGTTTTGCTTGATGTGTTTCTATTTGACCTCAGTGGCAGGTCGAAGAAAAAAATCCACCATGACTAAGGCCTTCGGGCTGGGTGGTCGCTTGTTTAGAACACCCCTTGGGATGGGCAGGTTGGTCTCCTGTTTAGAACATCCATCGGATTGGGTGGGCAAGTGCCTGAAGAAAAAAAATCCACCATGACTAAGGCCTCCGGGCTGGGTGGTCGCTTGTTTCGATAGGCCCCCTCGGGGTCGGCAAGTGCCTGAAGACAAATTCCACCACGACTAAGGCCTCCGGGCTGGGTGGTCGCTTGTTTAGTACACCCCTTGGGATGGGCAGTGTTGTAAATATATTTTTACCGGAGTAGAATCGAAAGATTCGACATCGGGTCGTATCGCAAGGAAGGTTAGCCGGATTATTAAGCACGTTTACTCAACACAATTAAAAGAAATAAAAGAAATAAAATTCCTAGACATTCTAAATCAAATAATTGGATGGGTTTTCAGTTATCAACTACTGCAAATAATTAAATAAAGTAGAGAAAGTAGTAAGCAAGGACGAAGAACAATTATGGTAAAAGCGCTAGGGTATCGGGGATTTCGCTTCCGGTTCTGAATGCATTTAGCAAGCAATGAATTACTCGGCTAAAGGACTCAATAAACTAACTCATCCAGATATTCATTCTCAATATCTCACGAAACAAGAGAATAAACATAAATAAATCATTAACGAATCAATTAGCACATAGACAATACGTTACCGAACAAGCCTATTCTTAACGAGCCTAGATCGAACAATTTATCCCCTTTCGGTTTCTAAATTGATTAATTAGATTAAGATGGAGATCAAGCATCTAAACCCTAGGTTAAGCACAACTCAGAAAGATGAGCAATTACCAAGCATTTAAACAAAACGAACCGGACCGATAATCCCCTACCCCTAGCTAATGAATTTAGCTACTCATTATGCATTCAACATCAACATATTCAATAATCAAAGCCATCTCAATCGAAAGAAAAA